TATTATTATTATTATTATTATTATTATTAAACTTTGGAAGTCGCCTTGACAGCTATCTGTTAGCGGAAATGCAGAATATAAATGTAACAAAGAAACAAGCAACATGGGGGCTGTTCTTTAGCAGTCTTCCTGCCTTGTATTTCAGCGATTTGTCAGGTTGCATTCCTGGGTATGGGCCTGATCGGTCAGTCCCAGAACTCAATCAGCATCTTGTTAATGAGTGGCAATTGGCTTATGAGACACGCATGGCTATCCTCAGGGGAAGCATACACTGGCAATAGGATTCTGGCCATTGTGTTTCTCACAATGTGAAGAGCTATCTAAAATACTCCATGGTGCAGATCGTATGTCTTTATACTCAGATGGTCATCTCACAGGGTTCAACTAGGCTTACCCGAGGAAGTGCATTTAAGATGGTGTGTTTGCATGTTCTGTATGGCAATTATATTTCTGTACATACCCTGTGCTCCTCCTCGTCGGCTGTGGCTTTTTCTTGACTTAGTTTTTCCGTTTGCTGCTTGATTTTTTCAATAAGAGCCTCTGTGTCTTTGTTTCTCTGGTGAAGGTCTATCTCCTGAATAGCAAGCTTAGACTTCAGATCTTCTACCTGAAATGCAACAAGAATAATCTGGTAATTAAGTTTTAACAAGATTTAAATGGTATTGAAAACAACTAGTTAAAAGGAGTCATTGCCTTAGGCTTTGTTGTACACTTGGATAATTATTTTCAGCCCTCTAGAGGATGCATAATTACATTTATGTATATATAAAGAGATTACCTTGAAGGCACCAATATGATTTTACACTCTGTTGACTAGCATATTAATGTGGGGGTCAATATGGCCCCTAATAATGAAATGTTCTTGGCAATTTTCAAACTACTGTATACAAAAACATTTCTATCAGATTTCCTTTAAATTTCATTGTTTTGGGGAAAATACCCTAACTCTGTCATCTGAATTCAAGTAATACAAGGTGAGAATCATAAACAGTGGCAAACCTGAAAATAGCTAAGAACCCTCTCACAGTGTAATCTGTGTAATTTGCTCCTGTTTGCTTTCCCTTTGTACAAAATCTTAACCTTGATTCACAGCCCACTGAAATAAATTGTTTCACATTTTGGGGGTTAGAATCCCAGTCGGACCTCTATTTGCAAAAGGACTTCACTTGACTTTTAGGGCTCAATGCTTCCTGCACCAGGTGTCCCGCAGTTCAGCTGGTTCCCCCAACCTTTTTTGTGTGTGGACTAAACTGGCCACTGTGGCAGTGGAGTGAGGAGCAAAGCTTTTAGAAAATGACTTCTTTTTCCCCAACTCCCAGAATCCCCCAGCTGGGAACTTGTAGTCCAATAGGGTAATTTTGTTTCAAGCAGGGAAGGGGTCAGATAATTCTTCTGCCACTATCACCAGAGAGAACTGCTCTTTCCTAGAGCCACAGTTTAGCTTCTATCTAAGGACTCCTAAACAGGATTGCACTCTAGGGATCAAAGCATCTGTAGGCAGCTGGATTTAAATAGAACTCCTCCATCACTTTGCAGGGCGGTTTTCTTTTCTCCCCCCCCCTTCTTTTTTGGAAAATCAATATTCACATAGATTTTCTAACCCCCATCCTCTTTGACTTTTGCTTTGTCCTTGAAACATACAGTGGAAACAAAGTCCGTTCTTCAAACTGAAAAAAAAAATAATCTAAACAGGTATGCTTCATTTGGTGTCAAGTTGGAACTAACTTATAGTGACCCTAACAGGGCTTTCAAGGTAAGTGAAATATTTAAGGAGTGGCTTTACCATTACCATCTCTCCTCCCTTTGAGTTTCCATAGTCAAATAGGGGTTCACCAACATTCTATTCAGTACATCTCACTGGCACAATTTACTTAATTAAGGACGATCATACATACAAAGAGCTGGCTGGACAGCTCTGAGTCAAGTATCTGGCTGCTGAGCCAGAGTTTGATTGCCCACTGAGCCTCTGCAAGAAGACCCAGTCTGTGTGGCCTTGGGAAAGCTGCACCCATGGGGCCGGACGGTCCACTCACCAATCTGCTGCGGACATGGATGGCATGATTCTACCCATGGTTCCGTAGTCCATGATCCGCTCACCACTCTTTGACCTTGCAACAAGGCTTGTCCTCCCGCCTCCTGCCAGGAATGGCGAGTGGATCATGCACTGCGGAACCATTTGTAGAACCGTCCTGTCTGCGTCTGTGGCGCGGTGGATTGGTAAGTGGGCCATCCGGCCCCATGGGGCTGGACCCTGATTAACGCCACCTATTTGGGGATATTCATATTCGTATATGAATACCCCCATCTCTATTGAAAATAGATCCTGCCCCTCCTCTATATGATAATCTTTCAACATTTGAAGAGTGGCATCATATCTCCCCTCAGACTTCTTTCTCAAGACTAAACATCCCCAGTTCATTCAGTCTTTCCTCGTCAGGCTTGCTTTCCAGTCCCCTGACCTTCCTTGTTGTGCTCCTCTGAGCTTGCTCCAGTTTGTTGGCACCAATCTTAATGTCTAGAAATGGACACAAGTTGTCCAGTACGCAAGATGAGGTCTAACTAGTGCTGAACAGAGGGCAACTATCAAGTTGTCCAGTACGCAAGATGAGGTCTAACTAGTGCTGAATAGAGGGCAACTACTAGTTCATGGGATTTGGAGACTATCCTTTTGTTAAGGCAGCCTAAAATAGCATTTGCCCTTTTTTTGGCAGCCATACTGCACCATTGGCTCATATTTAGTTTTTTGGCCCTCAGCGAAAACTGATGGCAAACAATGGCAGATGAGCATACTACCCGAAGGCTCTGAATTTTCTTTGTAAATTACAGTGGTGCCTCGCACAGCAACGATAATCGGTGCAGCAAAAATCGCTGCAAAGCGATTTTGTCGATTTGCGATATTCAAAAGCCCATAGGAATGCACTGAAACCCCTTCAATGCATTCCTATGGGCTTCAGACTCACCTTTAAGCGAAAATCCTCCATACAGCGGCCATTTTCGCTGCCCGGTAAGTGAGGAATCCGTCCTAGAAAACAGTGGGCGGCCATTTTTTTACCCAGCGGCCATTTTGGAACCGCCGATCAGCTATTAAAAAATCATCACTTTGTGATGATCGGTAAGTGAAACAGGGTACTGATCATCGCAAAGCGATTTTTCCCCATAGGGAACATCGCAAAGCGATCGCAAAAGCGATCGCAAAAAGTTAATCGCTATGCGATTTTGTCATTAAACGGGGTGCCCGTTAAGCAAGGCACCACTGTACTTGGGAGAAGTATTTGGGAACACAGCAATGTCCTACATCAGCAGAAATTCCCAAATATTTTTTAAAACTCCTACCCAGAGTGCATTACACTTGTCTAAAAAAGATGTAACCAAAGCATGAATAACTACGGCCAGATCCACGTCTCCAGGCATCGCTGTGGTCAGCAGACTGCCTTAATTGTGCTCCTTGATGCAATTCTCCAATGGAGAAAATGATCCATTTGAGGCCATAGCCCAGACCCAGGATGGGGACTCAAGACGTACAACTGGCTGTCAAGTCAAACTTGAGTCACACCAGGTACGTGACACAGCCTTGACTTGGGTTTCTTTTTCAATGTGGTACCAAAGACTCAGACACCAAAGACTTAGCCAACATCCCGGTCTTGTACTGCAATTTAGCACTTCTTTCCTAACCTACCTGAGAGGCTGTAGTCTGCAGTTTTTGTAAACCATTTTCCAGTCTTTCCATCTTTTGAACCAATTCTTTTCTTTTCTTTGTCAGCAGGTTTTGGTAAAGTTTGATGAGTTCCAGGAAACTCTTTGGTGTGGTGTAGTTATAACGCTTCTCGTTCTGCTGGTACTGGACACACACATCCTTAACACTTGTGTGTGCAAAAGCAATGAAGTGGCTGACGGAAGGCTTCACGAGAGGCTGAAATGCAAATATAAAGTAAGTCATACCTCACAGCATGTCGTCCTATGCTGTAGTTCAGCCATTCTCAGTGGGAGGCCGTAGGGCCCCCTGGGGAGCCCTGGCACATTTGAAGTGGGGCCACAGACTGGAAACAGTTCTTCATACACCACATTTTAAGGTTCATTATGCAACTTACACAATCCTGATTCGGTCTGTGTTTCTTTCATATTGTGTTTATGACCGTGGCCAAAAATTTAAAAAAAGGAAAGGAAAGGAAAAGGGGGAAAAAAGAGAAAAGTTTGAAAATGGCTGCCTGGCAAACTTGCACAAGGAACATTTAACATTCTATAGGTCAACAGCACATTGGTCCATACTCAGAAGGAGGACTCATTATGTCCATTATGTTGACTCAGAAGGAAATTCTATTATTCCAAACATCACGCCCTGAAATCTTAAATATACTTAAATATACATTACACTGACCCTCCAAAGAGCTAAGGTCCCTCTGAAGGTTTAAAGGAAACCCATATTCTAGAATCTAATGCAGTCAGGGGCCGTGCTAGCTGAGACTCTTGATGTGCAAAACAGTATTTTTCAACCTATGCTGAGAATTACTTCTGGACACAATTGTAATAAACTAGAGACATACAGCACTCAATATTCAGTTACAGATACTGAGCTCATTATTGTAGACCCAGTGTTGCAAACCTATTGCAGCAATAATGCAATTAATGATTTATAGTGACCCTTATAGGGCTTTCAAGGTAAGTGAGATATTTAAGAAGTGGTTTTACCAGTTCTACTCCCCCAGTGAGTTACTTGGCTTAGTGGGGATTTGAACTCTGGTCTCCAGAGTTCCTAGTCCACCACTCTATCCACTACATCACACTGGGTGCCCATACATTAATCTGAAGTTTCCCTGGGGGCTCTTTTCTGGAACAGAACAGAACAAAAATTAGATTGTGCAGAACCCCCTTTCTGACTTTTCTCTGATTTGATCTTCCTGCGATCACACTCTGCTGATACCTTACAGGGAGGGCTACATGAGGAAAACAGCTGGCTCAGTCTCTCAATCCTTGGAGTCAAGCGGCTGCCGACTGTGGTGATGTATTGCATGAGCACTTCACTCTATCACTGTAATACATCAAAGCAAGGTACTAATTTGAAGGTGAAATTACTCAAAAGGTGCTGTCATTTAGCAGACCTGTCCAGGAACAAGGTATCAGCTCCGTCATGGAGCAGGAGGCACAGCGCATTGCTAGGAGGAAGGAGGTTTTTCAGCTTCAAAATATTAGCGCATTAATGAAATACAATTTGCATTCATACAGATTACAGCACAAGGGAAGGTCACTGTGTGACTGTAATTACTCAGTCAAAATCAAATGCTGCTACTACCAGAAGGGAGCCTGCGCTCTCTCTCTCTCTACAGTAAGGCATTTATCCACAGTTCAGAAACAGATACTGGGGGTTATATTGTTACCAAACTAGTAATTTCATCTAAAGAAGCTCATTCACATTTTACAGAGTATCCAGAATATGGAAAGTTAAATGGCTGCAGCTACGAATGTCCAATTTCTTTTGGCAGGACATATATATTTATGCAGTCTTTCCCAAAAATTCATTGAAATTAAACATGAGATGATATACAAGATGAGCCATGATGCTCATTGTCCAGTGAGGTGGTTAAATAAGAGACGGATACAGTTCCTTCCCTTGCATGCCAGGCTACAAATAACATGTCATTCTCAGGCTGAAATCCCATTGCTTGGTGTGGTAAGTCACAGCCAGATTAGGCCCACTGAATTAATCGCGATTTGGTGTCAGCTCTTTTGTAAGCCCCATTGATTCAGTCACCCTTCTGTAGTTGTGACTTACTACACTAAGCAACAGGATTCCAGCCTAAATTACATTAGTATGGTAGGTCCCCCATATCTATTGGGGATTGATTCTAAGCCGTGGATACTGAAAAATGCGGATAATAGTGAATGCTTTCTCTCTCCCTCTCTCTCTCTATATATATAAACCAAAAACTGGCCACTAGAGGGAAACAGAGACCAGACTATGTATTCTTCACTAGTAAGTATTCATAGCACGGTCTCTGGCTTGCAGTTACTTTCTCTAATATTTTTGCTACTTTCAAACGTTACCTTTAAAGTGCAATTTCAGAGGCATTTTGACATGCATTTTTCATGCCATTCTCTAAGTATCAAGCTGAGGAGGTTCTGTTTTCTTTTCTTTTCTTTTTTTTAATTTGCAACAAGCAATATCAGAATTGGACACTTGAGGAAACAAGTGTGTAGAGCAGAGTATTGTATTGTATTGTATTGTATTGTATTGTATTTGGCCTTCTGGTAAGAGCAAGGCAAATCTTGAGAAGCTACAAATTTTCTTTTCTTTTCTTTTTTTAAATTTGCAACAAGCAATATCAGAATTGGACACTTGAGGAAACAAGTGTGTAGAGCAGAGTATTGTATTGTATTGTATTTGGCCTTCTGGTAAGAGCAAGGCAAATCTTGAGAAGCTACAAAACCATAATTTGTTACGTCTGATAAAGTGGACTTGTCCACTAAAGGTCACATCAAATATATACAGTTGGCCTTCTGGTAAGAGCAAGGCAAATCTTGAGAAGCTACAAATCCATAATTTGTTACGTCTGATAAAGTGGACTTGTCCACAAAAGCTCACATCAAATATATACATATAAATTAGTTTTTAAGGTGCCACCACATTTTTGTCTTTTTTTAAAAAAATTTTTTATTTTTATTTTGTTTTCACTTACACAACAAGAAGTTACTTTTGCAAACCAAGCAAGGATGATGATAAAACAATTGTTTGGATGCCTCAAAGAAATGACTTACAGAACATATTCTTTTAAACTAACAATCCAAGTTCTGGCCTGCAAAAATGTAATTTATCATCAATCAGTAGAAGAGAAAGGCGGAGTCAGTTTGAAGGATCCCCATGAAAACATTCTTACTCCCACCAGACCATGAGTACGGCTACATTTACTTACATCTACTCAATGGCCGTCTGGGTAATGGTGTTTGTGTTTGCATGTTGCCCCCCTCAAATAACTGCAACATCTGTACCCAGGACTAAAGATGTAATCCTTTCAGAGGCTGCTGTGTTTGCTTGTTCTAGATTGCTCTGTTTCTGTTTTTATCAGTTATTAATTTGACTACACTAATCTCATCCACTTTAATGCTTTAAATCACTGCACATCACCCAAAATATTATTAGCAAATTTTTGTTGCTATTTTTTTTAATCTACTTTTAAATAGCAGGATTTCTTAGTAAGAATTGTCCACCTGCTAAGTGCTTTTCAAACCTCTGAATATTATCTTCTACCCAGTTATCTATGATGCCGAGTACATTTTGAGTATGTTAATTATTTCAGAGGGAGAAAAGGAAGACTAAATAACAAAAAAGCCTTTGTTGTCTCCTAAAAATTTGCATAACTGAAAGAAGAAATACACTTCTTTCAACAAAGACAGCCAATACAATAACTCAAGAGGGTGGACATTTTTTTTCCATTAGTGTATCAAATTGCAAGATAGAAACATGTAATTTGAAAAAAAAAACCTCGAAAGTAAAAATGGAAACACAGCTGATGTTGCGTCATCAACAAGAACAGCACAGATTTGAGGTTTCTGCTTTTCTGAATTCTGATAAAACTTTTCACATGCAGGAATCTAAATAAGTTTGAGTGGGAGCCTTCAAAAGCACCGGCAATATTCCTATTGATTTTCATGAGGATAGGTAGTGCTCCAAATAAATGTTTCCTCTGACCTGGACTAATTTACTTTATATTAAGCTATTTTTAAAAATGCAGACTGCTCTAACCTGAGTGAGAAGAAAAACTGCAAATATATCAGAGCCATAATCATGTAATTTCATTAGCATTTATAATTCTGACACAACAGTATTCTACCCTATTTGATTTGTATTCTGCAAGACCTTCAAATTACCAAATGAAGGAACCATAATTAACTAAATCAAATAATCAATATGCTAATCTATACACCTAAATAGTACACAGTGGCTGAAATCCTGTTTGCATAGCTATACCGCATAAGGCTGATGATGTCATTGTGGCAATTTTTCAGCAACAAAATGTTTCTTGTCCTGAGAGGTCCCAGCAGAATCTCTTTTATCATGTGGAAGCCACTGGAAACCATGAGATGAAGGGCATGTCGTTAACTTCCAAAATCACACCCACAGGTAAAGTCATGCCCCTCCTCCTGCAGGCCCCCAACATCTTCCCCATGATGAAAAAAATTCCACGGGAACCTCACAACTCACTTGGGGGGGGCAACATAATTAGAAATGTTTTATTTTATTAAAAACGATCACAGCAGCTGATGACATTGTCAGCTATATGCAGCATACCTGTGTGAACAGGATTTCAACCAATATGTAGTTCACAGTCCGGTGCTCTCCAGATGAATTTGACAACAGTTCCAGTCATCCTCACCAGCCTGGCCATCCCATGCTGTTTGGAGATGATTAGATATACAGGCAGGATGTATAATTTTGAAGGAGTCTGTTTGCTTTATAGAACTCGATGACGATAAACAGAGAAAAATTCACACACAGTCTTTTTTTTAAAGGCTGTGGAGAGACATTTGAGATATACTGCACAATAGAAATATGATCAATACCCATCCATCCATCCTCCATCCACACTAGTCAGCTGCACTTTGAAATCCTTTGCCTCCAACAAGTGATATTTTCATGTGCTAATGTGCGTTTGTCTTTTAGTTCTTGAAATTCAGGAACACATTTTCTCTGACACCTCCTGCAACCTTTACAAGCATTCTGAGCACATTTCCTGCTTTGCATGGAAAATCTATTTGCACAGTTGTCAGGTTGATGGACAGGAGGAGAATGATAGGAGAGTGCACTGATCTTTTACTTGTTATTACATACAAAAGCCCAGTAGGACGCGTGATGTGTTGGCGAGACAAACGGTGTCCTATTCTGGAACATATTAAGTTTGTCTCCAGGACACACATGAC